TAGTTACGGAATAATAAGTCTTAGTGTGTAATAAGTCTGGGATTTTAAGGGGTTAGCGTTCTTGCCATCCCCACCTCCACCGTCCCAGCTTTACTCAAGATCCAAAAACATCACTTCTGCTGTGGGCTTATGCTACACATTTCACTAACTACCCCCCCCCACCCCCACCCAAAAAAAACAAGGCAAACTCTAACAGCAGAAACACTAGCATTAGAATAAATGCAAAAGAGCACCATTGTGATTGTGTGTTAGCTAAACCGTTTTCTAAACCTCTCCAGGATGAAGTCTAATATTTACAGTCACCATCCAATACCTAGTTTATCTAATCAGTCCATTATATTAAATCAGGCGCTGCAGCACGAAGTCAGGACACAGTCCTGTGTTACTATTATGTTAACAGTATTCCTCTAACCTATATAATCAATACCTTCACTGCCAAACAACACATTATTTTTACTGAATTTATACTTATTTGTATTTATTCCAGTGTTATATAGCAAAGCAAATACATTAGATTCTAGACGCTGGAGTGGCCTCATCTTGAGAGCTTCCACTCTCTTGAGACATAACAATGCAGAATAAACATATGAATTGCATTGTCATTTTTCATTAAATGAAAATTATTGTTGTAAGGGGGGGGGGCTGTTGTGGGCATAATTGTTTTTGCACTGGGGCCCATAAGATCCTAGTTAAGCCACTGCATCAGACTTTAGGATTGTTATCACACCCAGTATTGTTTTAAGCCCGCAAGGCAGTGATTTCTACTGTCACGACAAACATGTTTTTATTTTTTTTTACTTATTTATTTATTTATCTTGTGTGCCTATATAAAAATAAATATGTATTTGTTTTTTGAAGCCTTTACAGAAAAAGTTGCTGAGTTAGTGCTTGTACTTCTGATGTAAGTCACTATTAGCATTTATTTTTATTTTGCACAATAGTGAATTGTGCCTTTGTATGACAGCGTTTTAGGGCCACTGCACAATTAAAAATAGTCGACTTCGAGAATAAAGTTGTAATATTTTGAGATAAAAAGTCATACGGTATGATATTTTGTGAATAAAGTCTTAATATTTTGAGATAAAATCATAATATTTTGAGAATAAAGTTGTAGAATTCTGACATTAAAGTGGGACATTACCTGGAAAAGCTGCAATATTGTAGCCAAAGGCTTCGTGTTAAAATGAGGGGTGTTGAGTTGTTGGTGGAGTTATACTTTCATGCCAATCTCACCCATAAAGAAATACTCAGTCTCCCTGTCTGTCCTGCACATCAGCACCAGCCTGTTATTAGTATAAGAAACGGCTGAAACGGCTGAGCAGGAAACTGTTTATTTAGAATAAAGAGCCAGACGGTCTCGGAGGAAACTGTCTGTCTGTGTTGTTGAAGGAGAATCGCAGGCAGAGTCATCTACACGGCTATCAGTGGCTTCATCCCCAGGCCATTTAAAGAGGGCATGCAGTTTCACAGGAGACAGAATGATAGTCGAAATGATCGATCCTGAAGGAGTGGAACTGCGGTGCACTCTGCATCCTCACTGTCGCCAGTACAGCAGCCAAGGCTCCTATACGTTATGGCAACCCCCTACAATTAGCCCAATATCGTTTATTCTTGTAACTTGTAACTTTACAACTTTATTCTCAAGATATTATAACTTTATTCTCAAAATATTACAATTTTATTCCAAAAATATGACTTTATTCTCAAAATATTACGGCTTTATTCTCAAAATATTACGATTTTATTCTAAAAAAAAACATTATTCTCAAAATATTACAGCTTTATTCTTGAAATATTATGATTTTATTTAAAAAAAAGACTATTCTTGAAATATTACGGTTTTATTCTCAAAATATTCAGATTTTATTCTAAAAAAATTTATTCTAAAAAAATTTTTATTCTAAAAAAATAATTTTATTCTCAAAATATTACGGCTTTATTAGTGAAATATTACAATTTTATCCTAAATTTTATTAGGTTAGATTGCTTACACACATTGAGTCAGAGGCACACTATTTTATTAACAATTTATCGCTTTTCATATCATCATCGTAATATCCGATATCTCGTCAACACCGTCTGACAAATAAGCCTGTTGTTGGCACATGGATGTAACGTAAGTTAGCATGGCAGACAACAAATTCGAACATTGCCTTGTACGTCAATATCGTACAGCCTTACGTAGAACCCTTGATTTGTAATGCAGTCCATAGCGACAGCTCTAGATATCAGTGCTGCAAAGGCCAATACTTCTATAAGTATTCATTAGCAATGTACTGTGCAGCTCTGACACACATGCAAACATGCACAGATTTTTCTCGCAGATTGAGAAAGAGCTGATTCAACTGGTCTGACTCACAGTGAGTACAGCACTCGTTCCCACACTGACTTCTTCATCAACCCTTTTTTTCCACAAGCAGCCCGCTAGCTCACGACACCTGGCAGAGCAAGCGCGTAACCTGGCCCTCCTACACCCTCCCATAACCTGCTGCGTGATGTCCCTTCTGACCCCTGCGCTTCTTGTTGCCTACCCTCGCTAACTCAATCACTCACTCTGTTTCCACTGAAAAAAAGTGACATGATTCAAATGCCTCATTTTCACATTAACACAATATCTCACTTAGAAGACATCAGAATCTCTAATATGATGCTAATATGACATTATGTTTCAAGTAATTAGTAGAAGAATTTTTAGATAATGAACTGAGCTGTAGATGATCTCAACTGTGCATGATCTCACGGGACTAGACGTGATCTCGCAATGAGAATGTCTGGGGACAACAACGAGAATTTCTGGGCTAAATGTGGGTGGGAATGTCGACTTGCCAAGGTGGGAACAAACTGAGTGTGAAATTTCTAAACCAATCCAACACCTCATGAAGGTAAAAGTAAGGGGTGGGTAAAAGAAGCAAAATCTCTCAGGTTAAAGGGGAATTCCAGCAGAATGTTAGCATTTGTAAAGGATTTGTCATGTTATGTAATATTCTATAGGACGGCATTATATCCCCCAGTCTGATCAGACCAGACTCCCTGTATCTCCATATAAATCTCGTATCTCCAAAATGATAACTTTACAGGAGAAGGAAAAAACCTACTTTACTTTTAATGTAAGTCAATGGAACCAGACATTTTTCCCAAGTCATTTCGGGCTGTTTCTTTTGGTTCATTCATCATGAAATTTACACATAATGTAAAGGCCAACAGGCATTTTCAAATTATGTCAAAAACTGAAAAATGACAAAAATGGAGATATGAGGTTTTGTCCCGACAAGAGCGATATTCTTTCATCACTGTTCTCTCAGGATTCTCGATGGTTCTAGCCACTGATCTGTAGGCTAATAACACATGTGTGGTGTTAGCTAGCATAGTATGGTTCCTGTCTTGGCCTTCAAACAAGGTTTTCTTTGGCAAAGACACAATTAAGCACATCTAGATGTAAAAAATGCCTAGCATATTGGATAACTGCACACCTGGCCTAGCTGGGCCAGATGTGATCTTGTGGCAAGAACTTGAATGTGGGTGGGAATGATGACTTTTTATGGTGGGAGCAAAGGTGGAGCTCAAAGTAGGTGCTGAAGGTGCACTCGTCAAGACTGTCTGACAATATGCCTGTCGTTGGCACATGGATGGAACGTAAGTTAGCATGGCTGAAAACAATCAGTGGCTTTTATCACAAATGGCTAATTTGTGTGCTACTGACAATTGCATGATAATGGATGCCCTTTTTGGTGTTCCTAATGACAAAGGCAAAACATGAAAAACAAAACATACCTTTATTTTCATTTTTTTCTTTTCTGTTTTATGGTATTTTTGTCGCTTATTAAGTAGATCATCTGTCACAATTTCGTCACAATTCAGTACCAAAAGTTTAACAAGTTCTCTTCAGACATGCATATCACGTCTGGCCCAGTGAGCCTATCTATATCTAGAATATCGTGAATTCAAATTGTGCTCGAGACAGATACACCTTGGACCAGATTCCCAGACCCACATTATACCTAAGCACAGGCTAAACAGAATTTTTAATGGTGAAACACCACTGACAGTGCAGTGGTCCACAAATCATAGTCTCCAAAATTAACCCTACACATCCATAAGTATGTAGACACCTGCTTATCCAATGTTTCTTCTTGAATCAAAGGTATTAATTAAAAGAGTGCTGCAGTAGCAGCCTCCTCTCGTCTGGGTAGGCTTTACACTAGATGTTGAGCATTGCTGTGAGGATCGGATTGTATTTATCTGCAAGAGCATTAGTGAGGTCAGGTACTGATGTTGGATTATTAGTTCTGGTTCACTGTAACTCATCTCAAAGATATTGGAAGGAGCTCCGTCACTCCAGAGAAGGAAGATCCACTGCTTCACAGCCCAATACTAGGAGCGGGGGCACTTTATACTCCTCTAGACAATGCTTGGCATTAAGCATGGTGAGCTAAGGCTCATACTGCTGTTTCAAAGCTTGCCATTCTATTGGCGCTTTTCTATGGAGATTATACTGTACAAGTTGCATGAGTGAGGTGTCTGGATAGTTATGGACCTATAGTGAAACTTGACAAAAATGGACTGTAAATAGATTACAGCATTTTTATATTTATCATTTCATATCTTCTTGTTGTGTCCAAATACACAACACTGCAAAAATTGATATCCTTCCAAAGAACCCATTGTAAATGTGTTTGATATTAATGCTTAAGGTTGTTGTAGGAATATTATAAGACTATAAAACTATTTAAGCTATTGCTAAACATTTATACTTGTTTTACAATATATTTTTTATTAGTAAAGTGTCTTATTCTACTGGCTGATAATTTTACTTGTTTCTAGAAATAATGCATATGAAATAAAATAATTTACTCATAGAAATTATCTCATTATATTCTTACAACATTGTCATAATGAGAAAAATTAAATATGTATCTTATATACATGGTGTCACCCTTTTGGTGTACAGTTTGGCAACGACAAGTGACTGCACACATTTCAATGAGACTGTAGCTTCCCACCTTGTTGAGGATGATGATAGCCTCTTGGTTCACTCCGGTAATGTTGAAGGTGTCCCCCGACTCCCCCTCCAGAATGGTATATTCCAGCTTGGCATTCTCTCCCAGGTCAGCATCTGTTGCCGAGATCCGGCCCACCTCCGCCCCCGGCACGGCCAACTCAGAGACAGAGAAGAGCCAGGTGCCTGAGAGAGAGAGAGAGAGATAGAGAGAGAGAGAGAGAGAGAGAGAGAGAGAGAGAGAGAGAGAGAGAAGAGAGACCAAAACAGAAGGACAAAAGCCAGACAAGTTAGAGACAAGGAAAGATTTCAGATGCGCACCAGCAGTCACATCAAAGCTTTCAGCAAATCAGAACGTCTTCTTTCGTCCTTTTGTGTGACTAACAAGCTCGGCTGTCAGGCTCGGATGATTGGCAACTGGATCCCATGGCTTTCTCCTCGCTAATACCATCGCGCAGTGACCTTCCCTTACCGAGCCCTCCATTAAATCAGCACATTAGCTCTCCGGTGTGCTGATTCACTGCCACACTACTAGCCTTGGTGATTGCGGCTCACTGCGTGTGTTTTGTCACTGGTACGCCTCATTCCCCAGCCCCATTCGCTCGAGTCTACCACTTTCCCCGGGTTTTACCTGCAGTGTGACTGAACTGAAACACCAAGCATATACGGAACATTCTACCAAATGAGTTCCAACTGCAGTCTCACAGTACAGGAAGAATAAAAAAAATATTAAGTATTCAGATGTTAGGTACACTATATTGCCAAAAGTATTCACTCACCCATCCAAATAATTGAATTCAGGTGTTCCAATCACTTCCATGGCCACAGGTGTATAAAACCAAGCACCTAGGCATGCAGACTGCTTCTACAAACAATTGTGAAAGAATGGGTCGCTTTCAGGAGCTCAGTGAATTCCAGCATGGTACCATGATAGGATGCCACCTGTACAACAAGTCCACTCGTGAAATTTCCTCACTACTAAATATTCCACAGTCAACTGTCAGTGGTATTATAACAAAGTGGAAGCGAATGGGAACGATAGCAACTCAGCCACAAAGTGGTCGGCCACGTAAAATGACAGAGCGGGGTCAGCGGATGCTGAGGCGCATAGTGCGCAGAGGTCGCCAATTTTCTGCAGAGTCAATCTCTACAAACCTCCAAACTTCATGTGGCCTTGAGATTAGCTCAAGAACAGCGTAGAGAGCTTCATGGAATGGGTTTCCATGGCCGAGCAGCTGCATCCAAGCCTTACACCACCAAGCGCAATGCAAAGCGTGGAATGCAGTGGTGTAAAGTGCCATCACTGGACTCCGTCTGGCAATCCGATGGACGAGTCTGAGTTTGGTGGTTGCCAGGAGAACGGTACTTGTCTGACTGCATTGTGCCAAGTGTAAAGTCTGGTGGGGGGGATTATGGTGTGGGGTTGTTTTTCAGGAGTTGGACTCGGCCCCTTAGTTCCAGTAAAAGGAACTCTTAATGCTTCAGCATACCAAGACATTTTGGACAATTTCATGCTCCCAACTTTGTGGGAACAGTTTGGGGATGGCCCCTTCCTGTTCCAACATGACTGCGCACCAGTGCACAAAGCAAGGTCCATAAAGACATGGATGAGCAAGTTTGGTGTGGAAGAACTTGACTGGCCTGCACAGAGTCCTGACCTCAACCCGATAGAACACCTTTGGGATGAATTAGCGCGGAGACTGCGAGCCAGGCCTTCTCGTCCAACATCAGTGTGTGACCTCACAAATGCACTTCTGGAAGAATGGTCAAAAATTCCAATAAACACACTCCTAACCCCTGTGGAAAGCCTTCCCAGAAGAGTTGAAGCTGTTATAGCTGCAAAGGGCGGGCCGACATCATATTATACCCTATGGATTAAGAATGAGATGTCACTCAAGTTCATAAGCATGTGGAGGCAGACAAGCGAATGCTTTTGGCAATATAGTGTATTTACAAGGATTATGTTATGATCTATTTAACCCAATACATTCATTGACCGAGCACTTTATTAGGAATGCTATACTAATACTGGGTAGGGCCTCCCTTTGCTCTCAAAACCGCCTTCATTCTTCATGGCATTTATTCCACAAGATGTTAGAAAAATTCCTTTGAGATTCTGATACATGTTGGCATGATTGCATCACACAATCACACACTGGTGCACTTTCATGTTGCATATCTCCTGTTCTACCACATCCCAAAGGTGTTCTGTCAGATTCAGATCCAGAGATTAGGAGAACACTGAACTCATCGTGTTCATGAAACCAGTTTGAGACGACTTTTGCTTTGTAAGATGATGCATTATCATGCTGGAAGACGCCTTTAGAAGATAAGGTAAATTCTGGCAGCAATAATATTTATTTAGCATTCAAGTGATGATTGATTGGGGCAAAAATGTGCCAAGAAAACATTCCCCACACCATTACATCACCTCCACCAGCCCGAACTGTTAACACAAGACATGTTAGGGTCTATAGATTTATGCCGTTGGCATCAAATTCTGACCCTACCATCTGTGTGCTTCAGCAGAAATCGAGATTCATCAAATCAGGCTATGTTTTTCTAGTCTTCACTTGTCCAATTTTGGTGAGCCTGTGCCCACAGCTTTCGGTTATTGGCTGACAGAAGTGCAACCCGATATGGTCTTCTGCTGTTGTAGCCCATCCACCTTAAGGTTCTACATGTTGTCAATTATGTTTATCAGCTCACACAATTCTGAGTATCTCTAGAGACCACAAGATCAGCAGGTATAAAAATACTTTAAGCTTGAAAATGTTGTTTTTTTTGTTTGTTTGTTTTAAAAATAAATAATAAAAGAAAATACCACATGAGAGTTTTAACCAGACCAGTAGCTATCATATTGTATCTTTAAAGCTGGACTGTACAGCTCTGGATGCAGAGGGGAATCCGCAGGGCCATCTAGGCCTCCTCTCATTTATAGGAACTAAAATTACATGTCTGCAATAGCAGTTCAGTGGTATTTAAACTGCAATTTGATAGTAATGCTCTTATTTCAAGGGTTACATTTTGGAATCGGCCAATGAAAAAATGCCCAGTCCATTTTTTTCTCTGTGGTATCAAGGTCAACACAGCCATGCGGGATCTCCCATTGGTTAGGCCTTCAGGAGATGGACAGAAAGTCTTACATGTTAGATTAACTCCCAACATAATAAAGAAACATAGTGGAATCAATCACATACTGATTTCCAATGGATGGGACCAATTTCAACAGGAAAAATGTCACTTTTGGCCTTCTGGAAGTCCTACATATGTGACTGACCAGAGTACCAGCAGTAGTCTAACCAACACATTGTCAAAAAGCAGCAGCAGCAACTCTTCACAGGGCTCCTTACTGACTGTTAGATAAAATATAGGGTAATGTCTGTTACTAGCTTAAAATAAAACATATAAAATGTCTGTGTTCAATCTAGAACTGCCAAATCGTGGTTTAGATGCTTTTAAAATCCCACTGGGGTGCTACCAGAAATGAGCAGTAGAGTTTTCACTTATGGCATGAACAGAAGGCCACGCTCTTTGTAGTCACTGGTTGCCACTGACTAAATGTGATTTGACAACAATGCTCAGTTTCGCTTCTAGTTAGTTCAACTTTGACCCTTATGACTGTAACCCCACCTCACGTTGTCTACTATTGGTTGACGCATGGGTACCTTAGAATACAGAGTACAACTGAGCATAATTTTCACCTACTGCTAGACCAAAAACATACTCAATAACGCCATTGACAACGTCTTGCCAACGCATTGCAAACACACAGTCCTGCGGAGCCAAGTCAACATGCTTTCTTACACTCAGTACTCAAGGAGGCGATAAAGAACAAATCAAAACATCTGTAAATGGAATCTACTATTATTCTTACAATAAAAAGAGAACGTGTAGAGAGGAGCATTGCCACTCAATGTTTCCTGGGTTTGCCAGACACTAGAGGGCGCTCCCAAGCAAGTCCAAAATGAATGGGATGCTATGGAGCTTTTTTCAAAATCATAGATTGTAAATGCTGAATCATGCTAAACATTCCTGTTATATTACTAAATGCTTTTGAAATCCAGTTATAAGACTTTCTAACAGTGCTTCATGTCGTGTCAAGACATCAGCAAGCAAAAACTGCTTCATTCAGCCAATGAGATGCTCTGCTTGCTAACCTTTCAGCACTTAATAGCAGTAATGCTAGCATCCTACTGCCCAAAATCTGTTTGCTGTATAAAATCAGAAAGATACAGGTAAGCTTTCTTGCATTTCTTAATGAAATACATCTTTCTACTTCCCAAAACTAAAGAAAAGTCAAGAGCAAGCTTAATCTGGCTCCATTCACCCATTGATGACTCGCTTGAGGGCACCATCTAGCATTTTGCATGTTTTTGATTTAACGAGAGAAATAGGAAGTGGCCAGGCTTCCCTTAAACCAGCTCTGCAATAAGCATAAAACTAAACATGTCAGCAGCTGAGGAATGTGTGCTGCTTTCCTTGTTCTACAGGAACGAAGAGGCAATGATGTATCCTGAACACATTAACACAAGTTCCTCAAGGAGCTCATCGAACTGCTGGTCTACGATTACAGCTGACCAGACGAAAGTGTGCTGGCAGTACAAGACAGCTTGGTCAAGATTGTTTGTCTCTATAGCGCCCCTTGCTGCAAAGCTCAGAGGTATGTTTCTGGTGATGTCCATCAAAAAAGGCATTGCTGCACATTGCTGGTTTATTTAGGGTATGTTTGTGGGCGGAGACTGATGTAAGAGGGAAAAATGTAAGTTGCTATTCTTTTCATAAAGTGAATGAAAAATGATTCCCTGTCCTGCTATATCTTTAGAGCTGGATGCACAGCTTTGAATGTAACAGCAGAGATTAGGTTCTTTACCATTTTGTTCAAAATCCACATGACTGACTGAAGCCCCATGCAAATTTCATGCATGGGCCCCCTTGCCTCACCTCATCTGCGTTAGCAGAACCTGTCACAACATTAAAACATGCCAATTTTTTGTTCCAACTCCATAATTATGACACTTACTTTCACCATGCCTTCATCTCCAGCATGCAGCAAGCTGTGAATATGAATACTAGCTACATGACTGCATATCAATATACTGTATGCAACCAGCCGGAACTGTAATGTTTCTTGCATCTTGGCTGTTGAAATCTTTATAATGGACTGTTTTTGATCAGTGTAGAGC